GGAGAGAGAGAGAGAGAAGAAAGAAAGAAAAGAAAGAAAGAAAGAAAAAGAAAGAAAGAAAGAAAAGAAAGAAAGAAAGAAAGAAAGAAAGAAAGAAAGAAAGAAAGAAAGAAAGAAAGAACCTCTCTCTCTCTCTGGAGATTCCCCAGAATGTGGCTTTAGGATGAGGGATGTGGATGGATTCTTCAAGCTTACTTCTGTATGATTATTTAGAGTTTTCTAAGCAACTGAGAAATTAACCTAATTAATCTATAAACAACAGAGGAAAAAAATAGAGAACAGCAACAACCTTACCCTTTTATAAACCAAATGTAGAACTTTATGTAGAATAAATTAGTTTTAGAAAGGTCATTTATATGTCTTATGCTAACATATGCAACTTTACTTACCTAATAATTGTTTGAAATGTTAAAGGTGTTTTGCTTACACAAAATTAAAATAATACTACATAAATGCCCACCTGTTGTTTGAAGGAGTACAATTCATCTTGTAGGATTTGTCTACAATTAAAAAAAAGAGAGAGGGAGGGAGAGAGAGAGAGAACTCTTTGGAGATTCCCCAGAATGTGGCTTTCAGATGTGGGACGGGATGGATTCTTCAAGCTTAATTCTGTGTGATTCTTTCGGAATTGTTTTTGTTAATTAGGTAAAAGTCGGGGATAAAGAAATGGATGTGATGAATGGCTTCAGACTTTATATTACCACCAAGCTTCCAAATCCAGCCTATACCCCTGAAATTAGTGCTCGCACCTCGATAATTGATTTCACTGTCACTATGAAGGGTCTGGAAGATCAGCTTCTAGGGAGAGTCATTCTAACAGAAAAACAGGTATGCAGAAAGAGTTTTGTGAGTAGATTTGCAACTGTTTATTGAGGTACACTTATTACACTGATGGGGTTCTTAGTTTTTGTGATGCATTATATTATAGTATGTCATATTCTCATAAAATAAGCAATTATGTAGATATTATCTTATATGGCCTTCCCCCCTCTTTTTTTCACAAACTGAAACCAGTTAGACTTTTGCGAGAAAAGCAACTGACATATTTGAAAGGTGTTTCTTATAGTGCCTCAACATAGTTCTTTTAATTGATTTTATAGTATGTACAAAAAAGTACTTCATACTGCATTTTTGTTTTTCTGTTTGCTGCCCAGAATTTCATTGGTAGACGGGCAACCATATGAATTTGTTGAATAAATAAAATAAACTTAACCAATTGGTGCTAAACAATTAAAGTATTTTTATGTTTAACTGGCACATTTCTTCTTAAATACAGAGATGCTGGGGAAGAGGTGACAGTTAATGAGTTCCTAGTAGTCACTGAGGGGAGTTTTAACTAATAAAAAGCTAATAAAAAGCACAACTTCAGAACTGCTGTTTGCTTTTAGGAGAAGTCATCCATTGATTTAAAAAATTGGGGAAGCCCTGATAAAAGATTTTTATTAAGTTCATTGCAGAGAAAGAATAATTAAGTTCTCTATCCTGCTCCCTTTAAGATCTCCCAAATTATCTTACTTTCTTTCCGTGACTGGTATTTATATTTGCCTTTCTTTTAAAAAAAATATTTTTATTCAAATATATATATGAAAGCAAAACAATATAGAAGTAGAATCAAGCAAATAAAAGGAATTTACAAATGTGATCAATTTATGGTTTTTCCATATTCATAAGTGATTAAAGATGCTTGAATATCTTTGATCCCCCAAATTAATATTAAACTCTATGCAGAATACAAATGTCAGGAATAACAAGGAATACAGTATAGATCATACAATAAGATTCTGAAATTATAGATTCTAATGAATTCTTTTAAAAAAAAAATAAAAAGGAAAAAAGTTACTACTAATATACAAAAGAAGAAAAAGAAAAGAAAAAATATGAAAAAATATAAAAATAAATATCACTAGAATATTGTTAAAAACTTGCTTACAAATTGTGCTCTTCCCTCCCATTATACCCCAGCCATTGATTGTAACCAATGTATTAGGAAAAGTTTTTGATTTTATTTTGAATCCTTTCATCTATTTCCATTTTTTCCCCTTAGATAACATGCTGTAAATGTCTAAGTTTGTTGTGTAATATATGATATATATGGATGCCATTCTTCCTTGAATTTAGTTAAACTTTCATTGTGAATATATACCATTAATTTTGTCATTCCTACATATTCTCCAAGTTTGATGTCATCATCAAAGTGTCTCTTTTTGCCAGATTTGTCCATGCAGCCATCAACATGTATCTTAATAAACTGTGATATTTCTTGTTTATATGTTCTGGAACAAATCCTGTAAAAATATTTGAGGTTTCAATTCAAGTTTTGTTTTTAGATTTTTTTGTATAATACTAAGTGTTTCTTTCTGATACTTTTGAGGGTTTTTTTTGCATAATCATCACATACGATAAAATGTTCCTTCTTTAGCATAATGTATCCAACAGTTTTTTTATTATATGATTTATCTTTTTTTTAAATTGTTGATGGAGTTATATATATCTATAAAACCTTTTATACCAATTGTCCTTTAGGTTATAATATGGGGTGAATTTTATTGATTTTTTCCCCCATAATTCCTCCCATTGCTGTATCATTATTTTTCTTTAAGATTTTGCATCCACTTTGTCATACAAATGGGAATTTGTTCTATCTTTGTAGGATATTTGTATTTGTCATGAGCATATTAAATCCATGAAAGCTGGCTTCTGGGTGAGGTTCTATGGCATACTACACACCTCCAAAGTAGTGGAGATGGTGCAGTGAAGCAAATGCTGGCCAGTGGTGATTTCTGGCTGGCGAAATTCTTTCTGAATACAGGAGAGAATGAGAGATCACCCACCTGTGCCCTGGACAGCTGCTCCTCAGGAGGAGACTGCAAGATGGAAGTCTTGCAGTCTTCTTGTGAGTAGAGCAGTTGGAGGTCACAGGCGAAAGTGCTTTTGGTATTATGTGGAATCAATTAAATAAACAGACCAGACCTTCCTGGAAATGTTGATTGTCTGACATCAAAGGGAAAAGATAATTGGTGGAATTTACAAGACAAGGAGATAATTGTAACAGGAGATGGACTGTGTCATTAAAACTATGGAAAAACAGAATGGACTAAAGCCTTAAGGATATAAAGAAAACGAACAAGAAAAAAAAAAGACAGAGAGAAGTCTGCCTTTTACCTTCAGCTTTGTAAATTTTTTTGTACAAATTTTATTAAAAGTTTTAAAGAAAACATAAAAACTAATACAAAATAATACAGAATAAAAAGAACAAAGAAAGAGAGAAAGAAAAAGAAAAAAACAAAAGTGCAGAAAAAAAGATAAAAAGATAAAAAGAAATTGAAGCTTCTGATTTCCTTTGCAGCAAATATGATTACAAAGTTATCTCTTACTCTGTGATT